GCAGTGGTTCTCAAAGTGGCTGCCTCTAGGGTTTTTATTTTTATTTTTTATTTAACCAGGAAAGAACCATTGAGATTAACTCATTGACATCAATTGACTTCAACATTGTTTTTCAATCTTTTCCTGTCCGTCTGTGTCTGTGTATCATATATGTCTGGGGTTTGGATGTAGACAGTATTTTATTAAGCCTGTCTGTGGGTGTCTTGGTCAAAGATCACTGCCTGAGCACTCTGAGCAGCAGAGACAGAGGTGAAGCAGGCATGGAGTAATATAGTCAGGTTGTTGTTTCTGTTTTCTAACATGTAAGATCCTGGACATGTTTGAGGAGATGCTAAAGTTAAACTAAATAGTTTTACAGTCACTTTACTGCAGGTTTCGTCTGTTTTCACTAACACCTAATTTTCTCTGATTTTTTTCTAAGACTGGTGCTTTTTGTCACACTCCTCTTTTCGACTCGAGATCACAGGAGAACGAAACAAACTAAGAACTTTGCTGCTGAAAGTAGACAGTCCTGTCTTTCAGACTGGTTTTATATTTTTCATAGCACACCACATTCTGTGAGTCTTAAAAATCAGTGAAGTCATCAAAAATGGCTGGCAGTCAATGAGAAACTCTTTTCAAGGGAGTCCTGTACAAAAATTATATACAATTACAGATTATAAAACAGTCACGTACAATTTCATGAAAAAAGTTACATTTCAATGAGGATGTCTCAAGTGCTCTCAATCTGGATCTGAAAGCATTCAATGAAATACAGACAGATCATTTCCAATCTTTATGCAACATGTTCCATGTGGAAGGAGCAGCAAATACAAAAGCTTATTTAGGAATCCTCTACTGTCTTTCTCCTAGTGTTATGCCTGTCCTCTCCTGTCTTTCTCCTAGTGTTATGCCTGTCCTCTCCTGTCTTTCTCCTAGTGTTATGCTGGTCCTCTCCTGTCTTTCTCCTAGTGTTATGCTGGTCCTCTCCTGTCTTTCTCCTAGTGTTATGCTGGTCCTCTCCTGTCTTTCTCCTAGTGTTATGCCTGTCCTCTCCTGTCTTTCTCCTAGTGTTATGCTGGTCCTCTCCTGTCTTTCTCCTAGTGTTATGCCTGTCCTCTCCTGTCTTTCTCCCAGTGTTATGCCTGTCCTCTCCTGTCTTTCTCCTAGTGTTATGTCGGTCCTTTACTGTGTTTTGCCTAGTGCTATGGCGGTCCTCTGCTTTCTTTCTCCTAGTGTTTTGCTGGTCCTCTCCTGTCTTTCTCCTAGTGTTATGCCTGTCCTCTCCTGTCTTTCTCTTAGTGTTATGCCGGTCTTCTCCTGTCTTTTGTCTAGTATTTTTGCCAGTCCTCTCCTGTCTTTCTCCCAGTGTTATCTCTCTCTTCTATCTTTTGCCTAGTGTTATATCGTTTCTCTACTTTCACATCTTCTCAGTGACCCACGTGGACATTCTTAATATTTTTAGTGTGGGAAAAGGTCAAAAAAAGAAATAATACATTGTAGTCTATGTGTGTGTGTGATTACTGTTGTTTTGCAATAACCTCGGTGTTAATACATCTAGATTTAACATAAGTTTACCATGTGTATAGAGATGGTGTTGCTAAATATCTGCAGTCCATATATTACTGGTTCACAGGCCACAATGCTTTCCACAGATGGGTCGAGACTTCAGAATAGGTATCTGTTGTCCAAATAAAGTCATTCCTCACAGATGAATCCAACTTAGAAGAGAAGATAAAACAATAGAAGCTTCAAATGGGATCGAGCTCCGGCGCCTGCGGTCAGTCTGAAGGCCGTTAGCGAGTGGAGTCGTGTGTCACTGCCCGCTTAGCTTCTCGTTAGCCTCCAAAATGGCCGCCCTAATGGCCTGCCTAGTACACAGGCCAAATGAAAAGTGCCTGCAGCCATTGAGCGAGGAGCCCACATCGGTTTAAGAACATAGATAGACATAGATTCTATCCATCTTCAGAGAATACTAGGAAATATTTGATCAATTGTGAAAAGCACAAATGGCAACAACAGCAGTTGTAACAGTTGAAAACTAAAGGGCATCCTCTGAACCCACAGTTTCTTCTTTAGGCAAGGCAAGGCAAGGCATGTTTATTTGTATAGCACAATTCATACACAAGGCAACTCAAAGTGCTGAACAAGATAGCATTAAAATCATAAATAATCACAGAACATTAAAAAGAAAGATAAAAATATAAAATCCCTCAGTTGTATGCACAGCTAAACAGCACAGTTTTTAACTTGGTTTTAAACATAGTCAGAGAGGAGGCCTGTCTCACATCTTCAGGAAGAATGTTCCAGATTTTAGCAGCATGAATCTGAAAAGCAGCCTCCCCATGTTTAGTTCTGACTCTGGGCACTAACAGGAGTCCAGTCCCTGTGCTCCTCAGAGTCCGGGCTGGTTCATATGGGACTAACATGTCACTATTCTGACGCCGCAAAGGCTTCCATCAGGAGCATCGGTCACCATAGTAAAAACGCCTGAGAACCCATCTCCGGATGTTGATTCTTGGCTTGGTCAGGACTACCACATCTGGAGGATTTACCTATTGCACATATTTAGTGGTAGGGGAAACTGGGGGAAACCTACGCACACGCACAGGGAGAACATGCAAAATTCCTCTCAGAAAGACCCTGTTCTGACCGGGATTCGAAAAAAAATCTGGTGCATTTACAGCACTTCTTGTTCATTAATACACACTGTGCCATGCAAATAAACAACACAAAGACAAAGTAAAAAGTGGAAGATTCTGAGAGCTGTGTCCTCTGCTGGACATGTGCATTATAAAGAAATGGGTTCATATGGGACTAACATGTCACTAATATATTTTGGTGCGAGGCCATGGAGAGACTTGTACACAAGCAAAGCTGTTTGTTTTAAAGTCTATTCTCTGAGCCACAGGAAGCCAGTGCAGAGACCTGAGGACCGGACTAATATGGTCGTACTTCCTGGTTCTGGACTCGAGCTGCTGCATTTTGAATGTACTGCAGCTGTTTTACAGCCTGTTTGGACAGACCTGTGAGCAGGCCATTGCAGTAGTCTAACCTACTGGAGACAAATGCATGGATAAGAATCTCCAAGTCTGCTTTAGACACTATGTTTTTGATCCTGGAAATGTTTTTTAGATGGTAAAAAGCTGCTGATGTTACTGATTTGATGTGGCTATTAAAATTTAAGTCTGAGTCCAGTATTACCCCTAGATTTCTGACCTTGTTTGAAGGTTTTAGGGAGAGAGACTGTAGATGACAGATGACGCTCTCTCTCTCTGCAGAGAATGCATTGCCCTATAGAGACGGATGTAATTGCGGGCCGTGCATTTCAGACCTGAGCCTGCAGTGAGGCCCTACTTGACTTAATCCTCTTCTGTAAACCATAATTATGATGTCATGGCCTGACACATTATGCATTTAAACAGTATGAGCTTTGAAAAGTCAAGTTGAGGCTGATTGGTTAATGCCACAGGTTCGTCTTCATTCTACCAGTGCCAGGGGACCCATCTCCAAACAAAAGTAAGAGGATTTTCTTTTACCTTTGCACATTCAAACTGCACAATCACTCAAGCACTTTAAATCCCTGCTCGAGATCTTTCTCTTTGGCTTTCAATTCCAGGTAGCAAGAGACAAGTTGTTGGTTTTAATTTTATATAGTCTTGATTTTTTTTATTTGTACAGTATGTGCTCTTATTGTTTCTGGTTTTGAGCTGGAGGATTTTCCCATTGTATTGATTTTTTTGTTTTAAATACCCTTTTTGAGAAACACACATGATTTCAAGGTTTATGATAATGGTTTGACAGAGCTAATGAGATTAAGTTAAGGATGGTTATCCTAAAGGCCAAGGTGTGACATGTATTTGTTTGGATGATAACTCCTCGTTAGCAAGGGGCTCCCCAAAATTGCACCAAATAAGTATGAATCTGTCTATACTTTCAGGGTCTTACAGGTCTCACACCGCTTTCCTGCTAATTGTCACTATAAACAGATGTATGCGATATTGCAGAAGAGGATCCTAAGAGAGTGCATTCAAAAAGCTGCTTCTCTCTGGCTATAGTGCAGGTCACTCAGTAGAGTCAGCGCTGGAGAAGGCGGAGGGCTGGTTCCAGCAGGCCCAGTGCGTGGCAACCATGGAGACCGAGGGATTGTGCTTCTGTTTGGCCAGTGTCCATGTGTGCAGGGCGTGATGTTTGTCTTTCCGAGCTCCGAGTTACTCCACAGTCACATCATCTCTGCGCCGAGCAAGAATGTAAACAGTGTGTGTGCACGCCAAGCACAGCCTGGTCCGGCCACATGTGTCAAGGAGAACACACTTTTAACTATGATTTAACACCTTCTACTCTCATTTATACAATCAAAATAACTTGGAGAGATTCCTACATATTTGAGTCAATAATATTAAAATTAAGATTAAAAGATTCTCAATTTGTCCCACAGTGGGGAAATGTCATTGATGCATCACAATTGAAAGAACTAAAGGAATGAGGAGCACACGATATAAGTGAATATTAAAGGCACTATACCCATTTCTGCAATGTTTGAATGTTTAGCACCGCCCCCCAACTCGCTCAATGGCTTCTCATTTCCTTTTTTTTTTTTTAAGGGTCTTTATTTAAGTTTAGATACAATAACAATTAATAATTTCAACATTTCAACAATGATAATAACAATATTTACAGATAATTATTTACATTTTTAGAAGTGTAAAACGTCCCATGGGAGGTGAGGTGAATTATTCCGTTGTCGTTTGAGTTGTGTGATAATGTGTTTGTATGTTGTATTACTGTCAATGAAAGTGTGTGATATTGTCATTTTTGTACGTGTTTTCCAGAGTTGAACTGTAGATATTGCAATGATTAGTTGGAAGAGTTCTTGCTGATGTGGGGGGAGAGTTTCTTGAAATAGTCCGTATATGATGGAGCGATAAGTGAGAGAGATGGTGAGTCCGAGAGTCTGTAAAAGAGTCCATACTTCCTGTGAGCGGTAACAGTGTATGAGTAAATGATCCAGAGTCTCGTCATTATAGCAGTTTGGCATTGGGCATGACTTGGTTGTAACGTAGCAGCTCCACGACACTACGGCTCTTACTGAGAGTCTGTTCACGGCCATGAGCCACCGCGAGTCCCGAATGGTCTGCTCCTGGAGTTTGTTTAAAAGTTTTACAACATATTGTGATTCACTACTGTTACATTCTTTGAGCAACACAGGATCACCATACAGTTTATCACACATTTTACAATGCAACATTTTTGACGTGAGACCATTAAAATCAAAAGGGTTCTTGTGAATACAATCACCAAACATTAGTTTATAATAAGGCCCTTTGCGAGCGCGGCCCACCCTCTTCCTCCACATGCTCAGTTCTCCGACCCACGGAGCTCCACGGGCGATGGCTGAAGATACATTTTTAACAAAGGCTAAAGTAAGTTTTATGTCTAAATTTGTTGCTCCGAGGCCACCTAAGGCTCTATCTTTAAAAAGTAGTTCCCTCTTCCCACTAAGCAAGCCGACGTTGAATCAACGTAATTTGAACGTCGTTGTCCGACGTAGAATATAGGTCACTGGTGGGTGCAGAATGAAAGTTTTCTCGACGTCGTTTCCCGACGTCACCTCAACCTCCAAATGTTACGTTGATGGCACGTCAATTCAAGGTTTGAATGTGGTACGGAAACGGTCGGGTCTGACGTCCTATCAACGTCTCATATGACCAAAATATTCACGTTTATATGACGTTCGTTTTCAGTTGTTCCCACTAAGCAAGCAGATGTCAATACAACGTAATTTCAACGTCATCTGGACGTTCATTCAAGGTTGCAATGTGGTACAGAACCGGTCGGGTCCGACGTCCTCTCGACGTCTTATATGACCAAAATATTTACGTTTATATGACGTCCATTTACAGTCCTATTGACCTACTTAACCTCTGCAGAATCACTCACTGGTCGAGACATACGTTTTGCAATAGGCAAGGCAAGTTTATTTGTATAGCACAGTCAAAACAAAAGGAAACTCAAAGCACTGAACAAAAGATAGAAACAATCAAACAAGGCATTACAATTATAAATATTGACAGTAAATTAAAAAGATACAAATAAAATCTCTCATAAAATCTCTCAGTTGAAGCAGAAACAGAAGTGTTTCAAACCTGGATTTTAACATTGTCAAAGAAGAAGCCTGTCTCACATTTCCAGGAAGACCGTTCCAGATTTTAGCCTTGTGAATCTGAAATGCAGCTTTATCATGTTTAGTTCTGACTCTGGGCAATAAACGATAAACACAGCATTCAAAAATCATTAGAACAACTGTAGTAGAAGGATATCAGTCATTATTGCAAATGGAGCTGCATTAAAAATCATGTTTCTCTACATCAAAGTACAAGTTAAAGCACACAGGGCACAGTGTTATGAACACTACTGTACTGAACAGTTCATGCCAAAGTAAAAAAACATGATTGTAGCGCCTATGTATTGGATCAGTAGGCACAAGCTACACTCTAGGTTCCCCAGATGTAAAAACACAATCTGAAAGGCAGAAGAATGCATTTATTGAACGTTGATGTTCCAACATGTGTCCTCTCTTGGTCTTCAGTCTCTCATCACAAGGTCCAAGCACAGCACCTGAAAATGTGGAACATGTTTAGTTTCAACATAATGTGGCAAAGTGATATAACAACACATAACTTTCTATTAATGCCTCAAACCACTCGATCCATCACCATGTGATACAAACCTTGGCACTGCACTAGCTCGAGACACTGGAAGACACTCCGTCTGAGAAACTTGGGATAAGGCTTTGGTCATTGGATTAATTCCATGTAAAAACAATTGCAAATGTGCATTTGTTTTGCACTTGGACACATGAGCCCTGAAAGCTACTTACCCTGTATTACTCTACACATGTTGCATTTCCGAGGGGGCATTTTCCCCTTGTTGCTCTTTTCCCTCATCTTGAGTGAGTTGCTGAACAATCTGAGAAAAAGATAGATGTTTTCAAAGAGAATACACCAAATAATGGTTTATTCTAAAAACAACATAATAATACAGAAGAACAATCAATGTGTGAGAGTGTGATTCTTACCTTTGAACACCTTCAACACAGTCTGACACCTGTAAGACTCAAACACACATGACACATTAGGAATACACATAGAACATTAGTTATTGCAACAATCATGAAATTATACTCTATGGATTTCACAATAATTGACTGCATTAGCAAAGGTAAATGTATTTTAATTAACATATGGCTGGTTTTAAAGTTTATAAGAAAAAGTAAGACATTGAATAGAGTTGCAAGCGCTAGTTAGCTTGCTACCAGCAGATGAATGGATATTTAATATTTGCAGCTAACAATAACAACAATAACAACTGTAGTGGCTCATTTAAACAGCCACAGTGAGAAGAAGTGAAAGTCTCTGACATTGAAGACCTGGGAAGACATTAAATCCATTTATTAAACAAAGCAATACATTAACATTAAACTCTCTTTCTGCAGCAGGTAACATCTGTGTGCTCCTATGGTCCCACATGGTCCCACATGGTCCCACACCTGAACTCAACTCCAACTGATGACATCACAGGTGTCTAAATGATGGGAGTGTCCCAAATATTAAAGCTGATCTCCCTGTTTTTAAACTTAGTTTACTAAGTACTGTTGTCTTTCTGCAGTTTATAAACCATTGTGAAATATACAGTAACTTTACATTTAAGAATTGAATTATTATTTTAAAACTCAAGAATCTTAACCTTTTTTAACACATAGTTTGTTGGACAGTCTAACCTAAGCTTTCTAATGTGTTAAAAATAGTTTGAAATATGAAAAACAATATCATATTTTAAACTTTAACTTAAAAACAAAAAAAGGTGTCTCCCTTTCAGCTGAGCAGTGCCAGCCGTTATTATTATAGATTCATGCACTGGCAATTCAAAATACAGATAATATACAAAATATACTTAACAAAATCCACGTATACGTGAGAAAACAACTTACTTTCTGTCTCCAACTCTTTTCAATGTGGAAATGATACATCTATATCTAAAAACTGTGCAGACTGTACTTACTAGAGAGGGTGATTCCAAGTAAATAAAGCAGGGCAGCGACAGAGGTACAGATTCAACGTCATATCAACGTCTGGGAAGGCATTACGTCCAGATGCACACCTTACGTCGTTTAGACGTGGAAAACAGGTCCTCGACCGAGCGACTCACGTGTCAGGCTGTAAAGCTAAGATAAGTTATACTCGCGCAGCGCATAAGTGTGCGTCGGTTGTTTAGGGTGTTATGTATTATTTTTTCACGGTAGTCAGAAAAAATGCCTGGCGGTGGTGTAGCGGTTGCGTAATGAGACTTCAGTCCCAACGACGCGGGTTCAAATCCCCGTCGGAAAACTTTTGACTTTTCACTTTTTAGCGAACAATTTCTCTGTTTGGTTAAAAACGAATAAACACTCAACATAAGATTATGTAGTGGCTAATAATAAAACTTGTGAACCCATGCATTTGCATAAAATCTCAAGTGCTCACCCCATATTTGCAAACTTGAGATTGTTAGCACAACAAATGCATACGTTCACAAGTTTTCTTATTAGCCACTACGTAATCCTATGTTGAGTGTTTATTAGTCTTTAACCAAACAGAAAAAAATTGTTCGTTAAAAATCAAAACAAATATGTAAAGATAATAATACACACACGTGGGCTTGAACTCACGTAACCAAGGCTGCACACATTTGCTTAACCACTCCACTACCGTCAGGTACACTTAGGTTGCTTCACAGCCTATATATTGTACTGCTAGATCAAGACGTACTGCGTCGGTCGGCCGATGACCTGTTTTCGACGTCTAAGGGAGGTCGGGATTGAACGTCATATCCACGTATATGGGAGGTCATTGTTTTACGTCCAGATGCGCACCTTGCACAGACGTCGTTTGGACGTAAATAAAAGGTCACGACCGACCGACGCGATATTGACGTGATCTGGAGGTTGAGTGGACGTCGGATGTTTAGTGGGTTAGTGACTTCTCTCGTGGTGCTCCATATCAAATTAACACACATTTGATTAAGTTTTATCGTACATTTGTTAGTGGGTGGAAAGATAGTCGCTAAAAACAACAATTTTGAAATGACATAACATTTTATAATATTTATTTTAAGTTGATGGGATAATTTTTTTTTTTTCCATTTTTTAATTTCTTCTTGGATCAAATTTGTTTTGTTTTCCCAGTTCCGTTCTAAGACATTGTCGCAAATAATAATCCCCAAAACTTTTATTTCGTCCCTTGTGATTTAAAGGGACTCTTCGTGTTTCCTCTCCGATCCACACTGCCTCAGACTTGTTGTGGTTCAGGATTGCACCAGAGGATTGCTCATATAGCTGTATGATTGTATTGAGTTCATCGAGTTCTGACTGATGCTGAATTATCACCGTGACGTCGTCTGCATACGCTAATGTTTTTATATTGTTGTGAGGAGTGAGCTCGACTCCTTTGATGATGGGACTGGATTTGATTGAAGTGAGTAATGGGTATATTGCTAAAACATAGAGCGCAGCACTGAGCGGGCAGCCCTGCTTCACTCCGCGGTGGACGTTCAGAGGTTCAGTTAAAACCCCGTTCACATTTACTTGTACAGTGGTTTTAAAATATAGACATTTTACCATATTGATAAAATCTGTGGGAAAGCCATATTTGGACAGGACAGCCCACAAATAGTCTCTCGAAACAAAATCAAAGGCTTTTTTTTGGTCCAAACCAACAATATAAAAATTCTGTTTATCCTTTTCTTTGTAAAGGAGTTCACGCAGCGCACACACATTGTCCCACATGAGACGGCCTCTGATGGCACACGTCTGCTGTTTCTCTATGACGTCCTCTAGGACGTCATTCATGCGGTTCATTAATACTTTGGCTAAAATTTTATAATCAGTGTTCATCAGGGTGAGATGTCTATAATTATTAATGTCCTTTTTCTCACCCTTTTTATACAGGAGACACATCACTCCCTGGTAGAAGGACTCTCCCATCCTACCTTTCATTAGACCTTCATTAAAATAAGCAGTCAATAAATCAATTACGTTGGTTAGATATAATTGATAAAACTCTGTGGGCAGTCCGTCAGGACCTGGACTTTTACCTGAGTTGAGTTCTTTAATGGCACTAAGTACCTCTTCTTTAGTGACTTCTCCGAGTACAGAGCTGACGTCACAGTCTGGAGGAGACAGCTCTAACATAGATCTCACAGACTAAGGGTCAACTCTGTAAGAGTCTGAAAGCATATTTCTGATCAGTATTCTTTTCTCTCTTTCTTTATAAATGACATTACCAGAACGGTCTTTAACTGCTTCAATGTATTTATTTTTAATATTTTCTTTACCTGACTTTAAGGCTTGAGTGGTGTTGCACTGTCCATCGACCTGAGCACTTTTAAAAACACTAAACAAGAGCTCAGCATTAATGTCGTTAATTTGTAATTTTACATCTTTTATTCTGACCTCGTCAGAAGGGAAGCGTCTTTACGCTGCTTTAATGTTATAAACTCTGTCACCAACTCATTGTAGATATCATTTTTACATTTATTAATTTCTTTACACTTAAATTTGAAGAATTTTGTGACTCTACTTTTTAAAAGTTCCCACAGTTCAATGTTGGATTTAGATAATATTTTCAGCTGCGTGATGACCACTATTTCCTCTTTGAGTTCATTAATTAGCTCCGGATATTTTAAACAGCTAACATTGAGTTTCCAGAAACCTTTGTGTTTGACTGGACCAAAGCAAACATTAGAACAAACAATGAGGTGATCAGAGAGATCGGTCAGAATGGTTTTATAAGACATTATTATTACGTTACTGGATGTGTAGATTCTGTCTATTCTAGTTTTGACTTTTGAGTCAAACCTGGTGAAACCATAGTCGTTTGGGTACAGAGTTCTAAATGAGTCTTTCAAACCATGATCACTGCTGATTTTAAGTAAAACATTTCATTCTTTTCTTATTTTATGAGTTGTGCTCCCGATACGGTCTTTTTCTTCGGTTATTATGTTAAAATCCCCACATGTAATAGTTATAAAATTTACATTTAAAATTTCATTCAATTTTCTCAAAAGTTTACGTTTTTTGTTAAATTGTTGTGAAGTATACACGTTTATGAGTCTAATTTTTTCATTATTAAACACACAGTCAACCATTAATAGTCTCCCTGGAATAATTTCTCTCTTCTCTCTTGTATTTACATCATTTTTACATAAAATACCAACACCATCTGCACTGTCCTCTCCAATAGACACGATACAGTTCCCTTTGGTCCAGAGATCACACACATTATTCACATCATCAAACGTTTTCAGTCTCATTTCTTGAATGAATAAAAAGTCAAAGTTTGTTTTCAACAAATACCCGATTTTCTCTTGTCTATTAGCAGGCGATTGAATACCACAGATGTTCCACGAGGCAAGTTTGACAAAAGACATTAAATATTTTTGTTGTTGGGAGAGGACCTTTGATCAAATCTTTTTTCTTTACCCTTCAGTTTTTTTTTATTCCTTTTTCGTTTTGTTGAATACAGTGGTGGGATATTCACAGAGACGAACTCGGGACTTGAAGACCCGGTCAGAGAATCATTTGGGTTTATTTCTGAAACAGAGCTTTCACTCACGCTTTGAGAATGCTCCTCTGACCCAGAGACAGAGAGGGGCTCACCTGAGGACCCCGAGGAGCTGGTCTCAGAGGATCGATGGTCCTCGTCTGAAGGAGGGAGAGGAGGCCACAGCGCGCATGTCACGATTTGGTCCTACACCACCAAAATACTTCCACTCTTAGGAAAGGATGCAACCAGATAAAAGTTAACAGTGTTTTAATGTGTTTCATTCAACGTTAAAAGCAATGTATTTTAAAAGAGTCAATGGAGTCTAAAAATAGGTCTAAGCCTGTTTTTCCAGTAAAAGTATGTACAATATATACAAGGAGCGCCTAAACTACTTTGGGGAGGGGAGTAAGGGGGATAACACAACGTCCAGTGGGGAGGGTTGAGAGTTGAGTCTGTGAGGGCCCGTCCACAATCACGCCCCTCTGAAATGGCCTGTGGACAAGGGAGATTCTCAATGCCAGCCAGGTACGACAAAACACACAGGCCACAGGAGTAGCAGAGTAAGTGGGGAAGCGTCCCTTTTACTTATCTGGCGTGCGCAGTCTAGCCACCCCGGGCTGGTCTGGTCCGCTGCTGATCCAGGCCGAGCTGGCTCCGCGTACCAGTTTGCCCGCACTCCCAGAGCGCGCGTCTGCCTACGTCTGTCCGAGCCTCGGTCACACTGGTTGGGGGGACAGGGGAAATCACACTTAGAAACACCACACTGCACACACACTGCAAATTCCCCAACGACAGTGAGAGGCTGCAGACGTCCCTTTACTTAGCTTGGTGCTGGCCTTTTCTCCACACTCCTGGTGGGCTCTGATAGTGCGCGCGCGCAGATTGGGTGTGCGTCTCGAACCCTGGCGTCCTGTAAATCCCTGGGCCGCTCCTGCTGCACCGCGTCCGTCCGCCACAGAAGACCCGCGACCCGTCTCGTCTGTTCCGCGCTGATCCTGGTGCCGCTCCGGGCTGGTACAGGGGCTGGTACAGGGGCTGCTCCTCGAGTGTCCTGCGTGTCCCTCCTGCGTGTCCCTTCTGCGTGTCCCTACTGTCGAGTCTCGTCTCAAGCTCTGCTTCAGTTTCCGCGTTCCCTGAGGGCCGGCTCTGGGCGGTTTATATAGTTCATCCTATAGATCTGCGTCCAATAGTATGCCGCTATAGGTCTATTGGGGGGGGGGGTGTGGTTACAGTCTGCGGTGCTCCACTCGCTAAAGTCATTGTGTAGCCCCTGCAAACTACACACTGCACACAAGGTATACGGTGGCTATAGGCAAATGGTTAATGTGCATAGAGTTTTCAGCCCATACCTCGCCATTTGACACGCACTCCTCCGCAGGGGCTGTCGAAGAAGGCTGATCGCTGATCACAGGCGGTGGCTCAGTGGACGGGTCCACGATCACCGATGACGTGGTCGGCTGAGCAGCGGTCACCGATGACGTGGTCGGCTGTGCAGCGGTCACCGATGACGTGGTCGGCTGTGCAGCGGCCCGTGATGTCTTGCTGGACTGGACACCGACCTGGGTCTGTACGCCTGTCCCACTCTGCTGCTCGTGTGGCTTACCGTGAGGCTCACTGGACCCAGATTTGTTACCAGGCAGCAGCTTGGACCGGACACTGGGGTCAGGGTGCGGCTTGTTAGGCCGAGCCCTGGGCCCCTCAGGACCAAGAGTGGGTTGGGCAGTGGCCTCTGGTGGTAGCCCAGTGGGCTTGGAGGACCCAGACGGCAGTGTGGAGGACTGGGTACAGGGCTCAGCCCAGGCATTGGTGGCAGAACCAGCTTTATCATTGTCTTTTGGCTGAGCATGTTTAGCCTTGTTGGCATATGATGAGGGGCACGTGAAAAAAGTGTGTCCTTTCTGATTGCATAAAGTGCAGAGTGCTTCACAGGTACAGTCTTTTGCCTTGTGCCAAAATTGTCCACATTTCCAGCATTTCACTAAAGGACAGTCTCGGATCTGGTGATCTGGAGACTGACATACAAAACATGTGACAGGTTGACCCGGATATATAATTCGTCCGTTGTATGGTCCCAGGGATATGGAATTGGGAAGTTGTAAAAAATGTCAATTTTTGTCTTTCTTAAGTTGTACTTTGTATTTACGAACACCGTACCAGAGTCCAAACTTGTCTACGGGTTTGACTGTACTCAGGATGCTGCAGTAACGCTGGAGGTAGAGCTCGATGTCGCCGTCTGAAACCCTACCCGTCCAGAATTTAACAACAATAAAGACGGTATCTATTTGAATAGATGACTGAATGGTCCAGTCTTTCCATTGTTCCTGATTTGATTGAGTAAACTGTAAGTTCAGGAAGCGTCTTAATGATTCTTCATTTGTAAAGCATATTTCAAAGTCCCTTTTGTTTTGGAGGGCAATGAATGAGTAAATGTCTTTTACTCCAATCCAGCAGGATTGGAGTAAAAGGGTCTCACCTACATAGTCCCGGGTGGGGAGAAACTCGCTTTGACCAGTATAGTGTAGACGGGCCCAGTGCTGGCCGAACTGAGAGGAGTAAGAGCGGCCCAGAGGTCGGCCATGAGCCATGACTTCGGCCCTCTAATACATGAGCGTCACTTTCCTCCCTTTGCCTCTTCCACTCATGTTTAAAGCTCAGTGCTGATAATCACAAAGATGTGTCTTCTCATTTCCCCTGCGCTCTCATCCTACGGAGCCACCTAGTCTTATTTGCGATCTGATACGTATGCTGACATTAGCATTAGCGCAACTTCTTGTAAGCTGTACAACAATCACTGATGAAATGGTACTAAAGCAATGCACTGCTAACACAAAATATAAGTAAAAGAATACCGCTAGTTTCGCGTCCGAATGTATTAATTTAAACATTAGAATATATTCTAATATTTAATTATAATTTATTATACAGCTCCTCACAGCAGCAGCACTTCATTGACTTGAATGCAATTCTTCCGATCATTTTTTCTTGATAACAGAACTCTCAAACCAATAATGACTGCAGCCCCAATGCAATCTTTGTTTGTAATTCAGGTGTGTAAAATACTGCCATTACTTTGCAAGTACAACAAGCTATCAGCGCCTGTCACTACATTGTGCCGCTTCTCTGCACACTTGTCTGTGTAGAGAAGCTAGCGGAGCTAGCTAAGCTAGCCACGCTCAATAAACAAATACATATCAATCAATCAACACCCTTAAACGTTAATCGGACAATACAGTATACATATACATCCTTAACACACATGCACGGACAATTTCAGAATTTGCTGTCAATGTTTTCATGACAAAAATACTGTTTTAAAGTGACAAAAAGCGATCGCGAAAAACCCGGAAGTTACCATGAAACAGCTAGCTAGCTTAGCCGTTACCTGCCTAGCACGTCCCGGTGAAACCTTCGGGAGCTAACTATTTTATTTGCAGTCATTAAATACATTTCGAATTATAAGGGTTGTCTAATATTTTTTCGAATATATATATATTTTTTTTATTTGAGAATTATATTCGAATTTTGAAGTCGAAGCGCTGGTGTTAAGCAGCGCTGTAGAGGCTAGAGGACGCAGGCTGTTCGCTGCTCGTTCTGTGAGCGGAGGAGAACGAGCGGCCCGCTCAGACTCTACTCAGCACTTTTCACTGCCTGAATTTCATACACAGTGGAATCAATGACCTCAAGTTTTCAATTAAATTATGTATTATGATACAACTTGCACGTAGTAAAAAGCATTTTTATGAACTACTGAAAAAAAAAATTGGGTATAGCTTCTTTAAGTATAGAACAACTCTATAGTTTTACATAAAATAAAATAGATAAGATAAACTTTATTGATCTCACAATGGAGAGATGTACATGTCAAATCTGGCTTAGATAGGATCACTCCGGTTGTGTAAAAGACAGGAAGTGTGCAAACAGGTTAAAAGTGAAAAGAAGTCTATGTCTGAATGTATACATCTGCAGATAAATCAGCACTGCACTCTAGTGCAAGAACATTGAGTAATGAGTCATTAGCTTTGAGGGTTTAAATGTGAACCCTCAAAGCTAATGATAGCTAATGACTATTACACGCAAACAGCATGTGATACTACTGTACATGCAAACAGCATGTGATACTACTGTACACGCTAGCAGCATGAGGTTCTGGGCTAAAAGTGAAATGACAGTGGACACGTGGTCCCATTTCAAATGAGTAAATATGAAATAATGTGAGGTCAGGTCAGCAGTGTGCATTAGTGTTCATTGTACAGTCTGACAGCAGCAGGAACCTGTAGAACCTCTCCTTCACACAGCAAGGGTGGATCAGTCTGTCACTGAAACTGCTCTCCAGAGCGGACAGAGGGGAGCAGCAGGGGGGGACAGTGATGGTCCAGATGTTAGTTTGTCCAGGGCCCTCTTCTCCCCCACCTGCTGCTGGACTTCCTGATGACCTGTTCCAGCTGATGCCACCACAGAGTCATAGGTATTTAGGAGTGGCCCCTGCACTCCAAAAGACCTGAGCCTCTTCAGAGTCGGCTCTGGCCCTTCTTGAAGAGGGCGTCTGTGTTATGAGTCCAGTCCAGTTTGTGGTTCAGATGAACACCCAGGTACTTGTAAGAGTCCACTCTCTCGATGTCCTTTCCCTGGATGTTCACTGGAGCTGGAGCGGACGAGTGACGTCTGCAGAAATCCACCACCATCTCCTTGGTCTTCCCCGTGTTGATGAGGAGGTGGTTCCACTGACACCAGTCCACAAAGTTTTGTATTACTCCTCTGTACTCTTCGTCGTCATCTCAGGGACGAATCCGATGATTCAGAGAACTTCTGTAGGACACAACAGTCCGTTTTGTGTCTGAAGTCTGCAGTGTAGAAGGTGTCTGCAGTTTGTCCCTGTGAAGCCGTGGCTGGATGGTGTTGAAGGCGCTGGATCCTCGCAAGGAGCCGGGCTCCTCCAGGTGGAGGAGGGAGATGATGGCGTCCGCCACTTCACCAGGATACGTTCATAAGTGGTTGTGAAACAAGTTCTTTTACCAAAAGAAGAATGTGTAAACCACCGGCCTTCGTGGATAACGGAGAGCCATTTCATAAATATGGAATAGTTTAAAACTATGTGTTCTACTGGATCTTTCCCAGTCAAGAGTGATGACAGCACAAAGGGAGAGAATGTGTTGTGTTTGCTTTTCCGCTGGTTTTTATTCAATATCCACATTATCTGTGGAAGCAAACACATTGATTGTCACATGAATCGTGTGTCTTGCTCAAGGGTAGAAGTTCTGCTAACAAACTGTGTTCAGCTCTAGCAGCACATTTTATCTAAAAAACATTTCCAACCCATTCCCTTCCACTTGAGTTTACATGTTCCTGCTGGAGTTTTGACACCTCTTAACCTTCTGTACGTACAAATGTTTAGCAGTTCCGCCTAAAAAAAAGGTTTGAAAGTGCGCCTTGTGGACATGGGAGAGCCAAACAGTTTATGCCCCGTCTCGCATAGCTCCTGTCGGCTCCCCCAAACAGCGCCTGCTGCAGAGAGCAATGATAAACAGGCCGTGTGCTGTTTACGCCATGTTTGTGTGTGTGTGTGTGTGTGTGTGTGTGTGTGGCGCTAATGGGCCTGACCTCTGCTTTGTGAGGATTGTATGGACAAGCTTGATTTATGTCACTGTGCTGTAGCTGGTGCGGAGCGCGGTGTTGTGTAACTCTGCAGTTGGAGAGATATTTTTTCAGCACCATCTCTGCTGACATTTTTTATTTTTGTTGATGACATTAATGCTAGTGGTGGGAAAGAAAAAATATGTTTTCATTAAAGAAGTTTTGACTTTGATAAGTTATCTTGAAGACAAAAAAAAAATCATGATATTTTCAGGATATAGAAATGTTGAACATTTTAAACCAAATTTCTAAGTGTGATCATAGAAAGGCTATTAGAATAGTGAGTAAAGTGGGATATCTTGCACCTACCAATAACTTATTTATACAAAATAAAACTTTAAAACTATATGATATGGTAAATGTTCAAATGTTAGATTTTCTTTACAGGGTAATAAACAACAAAATCCTAAAGTGTATCTTGTACTTTTTCAAACTAAGAGAAACCATTTAAATCTGGTGGATTTACTTTTAAATGTGCTAAAGCAAGAACTAATTGTAAAATGATGGAATGAATTAACAGATGATTTGAAAAAATTTACTTCTTTGTTACAATTAAAAACATATATTAAGATAAGATAAACTTTATTGATCTCACAATGGCGAGTATCAAGTATCAATTATTCAAAAATATGAAAAGTGAATTGTGAACCACACAAAAACATTTGTGGCTTTGTAATGAATTAATCAAAATAAATCACTTACAAATATTTAACCTGAGAACAGTGAGGAGTAATTTTTTCACATGGATGTTTAGTATAGCATTACCTTTTAGTGATGACAGATGCTCAAGCAACAACATTTAGTTTAAATTTCTCTCACCAAGTCCAGCAGATCTGTGCAGCTTTTGCCATTAAGTGTAGCAATAGCATTTACAAATATAATACGTTTTGTAAAGTTGTCTACAGTGAGCAATCCAGTGAGTCGTTGTTTGTTGTTGTCTGACACTAATGTACCTCCGTGTTGTCTGAACACCAGTGGGTGCTCCAGTAAAATAGATCCACCCGAACTCACGGCAATGACAAACATTCTGTGGGATGCGTTAAAAAAACCCATTATTTTTACTCCATGAGCATGGATTGAACCAGTTACGATGGGGCGAGACAGAATGATTAACAGAAGAGAATCAAAAACTTAACTCGGACAACGAGGTAGTAGCTGGAGTTAGTATTCGCGCCACCAGCTGGACCGAGTGCTTTACTACAGCACAGTTTCTGTGGCACGTTTGCAAAAACAAGCTCTTGTGACCGCGGGCTGTCTTCACACCCCTGTGGCGACGATCCGGGCCACTTGGCCTAGTTCGTTGGTAAAATCCTATGTGACCGTGCCCTTAAGGTCCAGGTGTAGTGCCCAGATCTCATTCTCACTGCAAAAACACCCACCAACCTGACTCATATGTTACATATGTTCTGTCAGGAGGAATGGGCTTAACTTCCATCAATTAACTGTCAAAAGCTTGTGGGAGGCTTCCCAAAACAGTTAGAAGGTGAGTCCATCAGGCCAGATAAAAGGGTCATAAGAATAATGTTTATTGGATATAATACAGTGAGCTGTTAATGAATGATTAGCCCATAATAGACCATTTAGAGTTCCTTAAAATATCAGGAAAAAGTGGATGGAAAGTACTTTAGTACTTTTGTAGAACAGATCTGCAAAACATAACCAAAAGTATTGTCCAAAAAATGTTGGCCTCTGACGCTGAGGCCAACCCTCTTTGAAGGGCAGGCTTTAAACAGGATTAAACAACACTGCAGATGCACCAATCAACATACAATATATGTGCAATAATTTACGTTGCCTCAGCCTTTTGTTTTATTTTAAAATAAAGTGTGCAATAACGTTCAATCTTCTATTTTCAAAGATAAATGAAAAATGCTGAACTGTTGAGCTCATGTTTGAGAGCGGCTAGATCCAGTCCCACCGTGTATCCCATATACAGTATAAGTATGCATGGTCACATGACACGCCCCATATTAGTCCAGACCTCGAACAAGAGCTTTCATTTTGTTTATAATATCCGCTAAAAATAACAGTGTTCGCAGTTGTAATTCACATGTGTAATTGGAACAGAGACAAGGACGAGTGAAGGAGTGAGCCCACAAATCACAACGTAATGCCACGATCAATTAAAAAAAAGCATTTATTAGCACTAATTGTTTTTGCCATTTGTGTCTTGTAAGAAACATGTACTGAAGAGACATTTACATTATTACAAGTAGAATTAGTTTGTCTTCGAAATATTTACGCACTGACTTTGCAAAAAAAAAATTATCTCTAACTGATTAAAACAGATTGATTGGATATCTTGCAACTGTCTGGTGCAGAAGAACCAAATACCTACACTCTAAAATGTAACTACTTAACCCAACGAGAAAAATGGAATAAGTAAGTAAGCAATCCGCTCAAAATAAATGTGCATTGATTGACATTTGAGTACTTTTTACTGTTGAGATAATCAAGTTGCCTAAAATAATAAAAAGCAATCAGTTCACTTTAGTTGATGCATTGTAAAAGGACCAATGGAGAGGGTTGCCTTTGAGAAGACGAACCTTCTTAAAGTAAGAAGACAAAGTACAGAGCTGATGGAGCCCACAGCTGCTTGTGCACAGGACACATGTCAATTATGAGGAAAACGCGATAAGGATGGAATCAGTATGCATAAGCACAGAGAGGAGGGGAGAGGGGATAGGTGAAACAGATATTTGTGATCAGTGAAGCCATGAGTGCAGAACAATACAAGATTATTCAAACAGGCAAGACTGAGAAGCACTGTTATGATGAAATATTACAACGTAAGTATGTTATTATAGAGTGTTTGATGTGTCCCTAAACAAACGGCCTCTTTCCCCTCGAATGTAAAGACAGAAACACAATATTCATACTTGTGTGGTTAAACATTATTTGTGTTGATTTTGGCCCCTAAACACAATATTGGATTTGATGTTTTAGACCCTGGTTGTCAAAGTCGAGGCTCGGGGGGCGGATCCGGCCCGCAAATTAAGTATCTTGGGCCCGGGATGAAATTTGATTAGTATTAAACCCGTCCGCACAGCGTCACAAGAAAATATTGGATTATTCATTTAATGTTTGGGAAATATGTTTTTTCTTTGACGGAAGTTTGTTTTTTGTCTTTGAGTCTGTGAACTTGAAATTACTGACAGAGCCAGACAGAAATATTGGATTAGTCATTTAATCAATAAATAAAATTTGGTACACTGTGTTAGGTCTTGGTTCAATAGGTTTTATGCAATAACATTGAGGCCAAAAATTTATTTTTTTGGCCTCTGAGGTATTTGACTTTGACATCCCTGATTTAGAACGACAAAAGCAGGATTCAGAGGCGACAGTGGCTCAGTTGGTAAAGCATTGGCCTTCGGGCGTAATGGTCGTAGATTCAATCCCCGCACTGGACCTACTCTGAGTGTCCAAAACAGCGCTATATAAGTGTTATGTATTGTTATTATTAAGTCTGCTGTCGTTGTGTCCCTGGGCAAGACACTTTGCCTGAAGTCCCTAAAGTCAGGGACAAAGCACCCATCCTTCTGTGGACCCACCCACCACCTGCCGGAGGATCAGTGAGGTACTGGGCATTGGGTGGCACTGCACTAAAACTGCTCAAGAAAACCATAGATCTAGTGTATTCACTTGATTTAGATCCAATTGAAAGGATTTTAAGGAACATAATTAACCCAAAACTAATTTGGAGGCAATTCTTCAGTTTGTCTGTCACCACAAAGTCTGAGGAAATGTAATAAGGCAACAGAAAAATAAATAAATAACAAATAAATAACAAACTGTTGATGTTAGTGTGGTTGGAGCCGGAGATGGAGGAAACAACATTTTACAGAATATGTCTTTTCTAATTGAATTGCAAACCTGTTCTGATGAAAAGACGCCATGATGTACGTGTCTATCTCTGTAATAAAATGTAAAGAAAAAAATATGTTTGTGCTGCTGCAGGAGCGTGTTGACAGTTTAAATGGAGCAGATAAATGACCAAATAAGTCCAGATGCGTGATGAGGACATTCCTCCTGTCTCACATCTGAAACCAACAGCCTGATTTACGGCTCTTTCGTAGAACGTGTTTGCAGTTCCAGCAGATGTTACGTCGTCATGGATTTGTGGAAGATCTCTGTGTCTGCCACAGTCGTGCATCAGCTTCTCAGACGGGGATAATCCTTGAAGCTAGTGTTTGTTTGACATTTTTAAATTTAGTGTTTGTAGGAACAGCTCAGGTGCTACAGCAAGACATAGAACATTTTGGAGGTTTGCACAATCACCCAAATCATAACAAAAACATTACACTCTCTCTTTACTAGGCATGCACCAATACGGATACAGGTATCAGGTCGATACAGGCTTGTACTCGTACTTGTACTCATACCATTGGACCCGATTCCGGCAACTGATACATTCTTGATTCACATTAGACTAGAATACAAGGGATTGGGGGCTATCGGGAGGGTGCTTGTGGAGAGACAGAGACCCTAGACAGAGCAGGAGAATACTGGCTTTGGGGGGTGGCGTGGTGTAAAGCTAGGGTCCATGTAAAGCTGTGCCGCCAGAAAGTGAGAGACATCCGGGGAAGAGATGAATTTGTGAAGGGAAAGCTGGCAAAGAGGGTACAAAAACAAGTCAGGACGAGGAGAAATTCTTCTGTTGGAGAGAAGGGAGATGACCAGTCTCTGAATACAAGGCCGACAATTTTTCTAACAGCCAGAGGGGATGAATTTATTTTTCTGTTATTAACGGCCTATTAACCGATCGCGAGGTCTGTATGGAGAAATATCAGACCGCGGCCTTAATGTACAGACCGAGCCGTGACGAGGTCTGTGCAAAAAGGCCAAGGTCTGATATTTCTCTGTACAGACCGAGCAAGCGAGGTTAATAAATGTTTTATTATATGACTCTCGTCTGTGTCTTTATCAATGCTTTTGAGATATTTGTGAAGTATGTTCATGTCCGACTTGGTTTTGTGTGATACGCGCTGCGGACAGATTGTCATGGTAACGGTCCGAGGAAAGATATCAAATGTGATACGCGCTGTTCGGACCAATCATCATGGTAACGGTCCGAGATGGGAAAATATCAGACCGGTAATCAGCCAATCAGAGCGCGCGTACGGTCAAAGTCATATAATACATTTATTTATTACACGGCTCCTCACAGCAGCAGTAGAATGCGCCATTGCATTAGAAGTAGATTCCGGGACATTTTAGGAACATTTGCAGAGGATCGGATTATGGATTTAGGTTATGTTAATGTTTGGGTCACTCACCGCTGATGTTCAGAATTCTTTGTTCAGTTTTCATGCAGTTCGAGAGAGTTCTAGTTTGGAAGTTGCTAGCCTAACTGTTACTCGCCACGGGAAAACCTTTGGGAACTATTTGGTTTTCTGTCATTAAATAAACCTTTCAGCATTCCTAAAAGTGGACTGAAGTTTATTTTGTGTGTTCTGTTGGTACAAAGCCGTATAATAAGCGGGATAATGTATAGTACGCAGGTCGGGGTCCGCTTCGCCCTGTCGGTACTTATTTTCCGATAATGACCTGCCTACTATCCATTACATACGTACAAATATGTATTTTAAAGTTTCGACATAAATAAATAAATGAAAGATGCACTTCTTTGACTGATAATTGGCTGCGGCTGAAAGAGGAGGGATGTAGCAGTGAAAGAGGCAGGAATGAGGAAGTGGAACACGACTCACAGGTCTTACACACTGAACCTTGGCTGAGGGATTATATAATTTCAGACAGAGCGAGCGCGAGCAGACAGAGCGAGAGCTGTACATTTGTAAAACGGCTAACTGCTCAAACTGGAAACTTAGAGCCAAGCCACAATTTCTGACCTGGAAACGTACATTGACACTTTCCACAAGATGACAGAAAAACCGGATTCCAAACGTCTAAGAAAGGAGCTCAGCTCCAGCGACATCGACGTAGACATCTCCAGCGACATCCACCAAATGCTCAAAGATATGGAAGCGATGAGACAACAGCTAACAAAACTGGACCTTCTACGAAAGTTAAAAGAAGATGGTGATGACCTGAAACAATCATTGGACTACCATGCTGCGCTAGTAGATGTCCTTAATAAAGAAAACGATACTACAACTGGAAGTCAATCAGCTTAAAACCCAGACAGCAAATCTACAACAACACGCAATAGAAAATCAAAACCAGATACTAGACTTACAGTGTAGGAGTATGCGGGACAATTTCATTATACATGGTTTACCCGAACAACAAAAGGAGACATACCAGGACACAGAACAACTTGTCAAATCGTGTCTGAAGATCCACCTCAAGATGGACAGCACTGTCAAAGAGATCCAGCTTGCACGGGCCCATCGCTTGGGTCAGTGGCGCGGGAAAACACCTCGAGGCCGTCCTTTTGTGGGGGAACATGGGGAACTGAAGGGAACAGGACTGGGTCTGACGGACCAGTTCCCCGGCGAAATCATGCGGCGACGCAAGTTGCTCCAACCTGTACTAGCAGAGGCAAGGGCCGCTGGCCGGAGAGCCAAAATATCCATCGATAAACTGTACATAGACGGCAAACTTTATTTTGGGGGTGGGATTAAATAAGTTTTTTTGTACGTGTATATAATATTTATAATTTTGGATTATGTCAATATAACTTATTTATGCACAATTTTGATATTCTACTTTTGTTTCTTGTACACTTATTTTCTCAAAATAAACGTTATTATTATTATTATTATCATTGTGTACTGTGATTATTTATTTTGATGCTATCTTGTTTTGTTCAGCACTTTGAGTTTCCTTGTGAATTGTTCTACACAAATAAACTTGCCTTGCCTAAAGCTCCATTTAATTTTGATTTTGAGTAACTATGGTGACACGGGTGTAAAAGTGCCATCACATGTGTCGTTAAAGAATGAAAGGGGACAAAACACTGAATGAAACTGGACTGTGAGTGTCTTACAATGTTTCCATCAGAGAAGAGTTAAGGAGTAAACCATTAACCTCTTCACTCTCACATTAGAGCTGAGCAGCCTCTTCAGCATCACCCGCTCACACCAGCACCACACACAGAGACTGCTTTCAACACATGGAAACCAGCGATCACCCCATTCATACATTCAGTCATTAATTCATTAATTCAGTCATTAATTCATTCATACATTCATTCATTCATACATTCAGTAATTCATTCATTCATTCAGTCATTAATTCCTATCTGTGTCATTTTCCATACAGTAAGAAAATAAATCCTTGATATATGTTGTATCAGTGTGCTCTTGTGCTCATAAACACACTTATTACACATACACAACTTTACACAATGACATTTTATCATATATTTCGTTAATTCTCGTAATGTTTTTAGCTCCGCCCATGCTGAAATGACACGTTCCATCATTAAAGGTTTTTAAAAATATTGACGATCACTTTAACTTCTTTCGATCCGGCCGATGTGCTACCATGGCATGTTGTACTTGATTTTAAAGAAAAAATACTCTTAAATAAATTCCTAACCCAAAACAGTGTAAGAAAAAATGGAATCATCAGTGCACAACCCAAAGAACCTCACACTCACTTTCCCACAGCCATTTTTCAACACTGAAAAAAGTATAATCTTGGTATGATTTATTTACTAAAAATAAGATAAATTATGCTTATATTTTAATGGCAAGTCTTTTTTGCTTGAATGTAGTTTTTCATGTAATTTTTTTTTTTCTAGTTTTAGGATTATACTTCAAAATCTTTGTATTTTTATTTATTTGTTTATTTGACAGGGACATTGCACAATAAATGTATTGTTCAGACCGGATATAGCTACAAGCTAATTTTCATCCATAGTCCCTGAGGCAGAGGCAACGTGACAACGTGACAGCAGGTTTACAGTGTGCAAAGAGAAAAATATACTTTTTGTAGAGAAAAAAGTATTTTTCTTATTTCATTTAATAAATAGGTAAATAATACTTGAAATGCATGTTTTTAAACTAGGATCAAGTCATTTCGGGCTAGTTTTTTTTTCATTATTTTCAGAAATCTTCTATTGGCAGATCATTTTTCTTATTTCAAGCAGTGTTTTAGTTTCTATATTTTCAAAGTTCAAGGGATTTTTTGCCAACAAAGGACAAAAGCCAGGACACTGAAAGAAATAATATGTGGACTTTACTTGAGCAAATCCAGGAAACCGATTGCCTTGAAAGAGATAAGTGTATGTGGCTTATTGTTTTGAAGTTATATTAACAATTAATTTCAAGTAAAGTTGACTTCGATACAGTAGTGTTTACTTAAAAATCGCTAATACTAAATACTTGTCTCCAAGTGTTGGTAACTCATCAGTTTGCAGTAATGTAAACTGAGATACCAGTAGTGCTTAGTTGAAAATTGCCATTACAAAATACTTGTCTTCAAGTAATGGTAACTCACCCATTTCAGGCAAAGTTAACTTTTATATCAGTAGTGTTTAATAGGATTTTCTAGCTGCTGAATACTTGCACATTGCAAGTAAATTTAACTTAGACTGTTTAGGTATTATATACTGAGGTAGCCAAGTTTGTGCTACTTAAATCATAAGCTCATTTACTAACGCCACTCCAGGAAACTGATTGCCTTAAACAAACACAGTAAAGACAACTGAAGATTCTGAATCAACTTTATTCTTTGTCAGAATGACAGAACACAGCCACAAACATGACTCTCAGGGCCCAGACACGTCCCCAAACCACCTCTCCAACATGGACACCACACAATATACTTTGATGAAAGAAAAAATTAAAAAATGGACAGGAAATTAAGTGACATATTTGACCAATTGTGCTGCTTTGTGTTGTTTCACTTTAAAAGATCTAAGAGGTCTGTAATTTTACAAGGCATACTGTAACTGAGACAGTAGAAAAAACAGGAAATGTTATGATTTTTAAATTAATGTATGTAGTCTTGTTAAAAACAAGTATTTAAATATAGGTGGAGATTAATATTTGGTACATAAACTATTGTTTGTAGTTACAGAGATCAAACAATTCCTGTGGTTCATAGGTTTGCCCACACTCTAGCAGGGATTTTGAGCCACTCCTCCATACAGATCTTTACCAAATCTTTCAGGCTTCAGAGCTGTAACTGAGCAACATGAGTTTCAACTCCCTCCACAGATTATCTTTGAGTTGAGGTCGGGAGATTGATGTGCCTCCAGGACCTTGAAATGCTTCTCACAGTGCCACTAGAGTATAGTCCTGGTTGTGTTTGGGGTCATTCAAAACTGAAAGGACCCAGCCCTGATCCATCTCATACTGAGGGAAGACCCCAATAACCCCAAGCACAAAGTCAGGAAAACCACATAAAGTGGCTACATAGAGGCATTTCATGGTCCTGGAATGGCCTCAGTCTCATCTCATCTCATTCCAACAGAGAACCTTTGGAGGGAATTGAAATTCATGTTGCCAAGTGACATCTCCAAAACCTGACAGATCTAGAGATGATCTCAATGGAAGACTGGGACAAAATCTCTGCTACAGTATGGAAAAAGTGGTCAATGGAAATGTTTGACCTCCGTCACTGCAGACATAGGTTTTCTGCACCAAATATTAAGTTCTACTTTTGTAATTGTTCAAATACTTTATCCCCCAACAAGATCAACTGTAAATTTATAAATGAGATTTTTTTTTTTCCACTCTCAAATTTTGTATTTGTCCCCACTGTATATTGGAATACGGTTTTGCTATATTTGGGTTTATCCGATTCCATGCATAGGTCATGTTAAAATCCAGACAGATCATGAAATTGCATCGATCAGCATTGCAAAAAAAAAATAAGCTGTAAAGAACCTGTTTAAAAAAAACAGTCTAAGTATATTGTATGAAAGGTGAAATAAAACAGAAATTAAACCCTTTTTTTGTGGCCAACAAGGCAAAAAAGTGTACATGAGTGCTGAACAAATTGTAAAACATTGTCATTCAACTAGGGGAAAAAATGCTGAGTTTCAAATAGAACTTTATAAAGAACCTGTACCGAATTTCTTTCCAAAAAAAAAAAAAAAACGACACTGTCCCAGTATATTGTATAAGACGGTTATTCTCAACTGGTGGGTTGGGATCCAAAAGTGGGTTGTAAGCCTTTCCCAGAAAACATTTTTCAAAATTTAGGCACATAATTTCAGCTTTTATGGCTTGTGTAATAATTATTCACTAATTTGTGGTGAAAATAAAGTATTTTGTACATAAAAAATAAAAAAAAATTATATATATATTATATATATATATAGTCACAGCCTGTCATCCTGTGGTAATAGTGGGTCCTGAACCTACGCCAGTTGAGAACCAGAGGTATAAGAGATGTGCAATAGAGCAAATAAGAAACTAAAAATAATTTTAAAAATTTGACTTGGTTTTCAACACATTGGAAAAACACTGGCAAAAAGTAGAAAAAATGCTCAGTTTCATATAAAACTTTAAAAATTGAACTGTACCAATGTAAAAACAGTGGTGGACTACCGTTTATAGTAGTTCACCACCTCATAGTTGTAGAAAGATGCTTATAAACTCAACTGTGTTTAGAACTGGGATATTGGAACAATATACTGCTTACTCCACGAGTGCATTTTTCAGTGTTTGAAGCTTTGGTCTGAGATTTCCCACGCCATTCAAGTTAAGCATCACCCTCTGGACAAACTCGAAGGTGTTGCGCATCTTTTTGGGATATTCCAGATGCAGTGCGTATATTAGTCCAAATGTGAGGCAAAATGCTTCTGGAAGATTGTGGAGAACATCCATCACAGCAATACCTTCTAGTTGGATGAAGTAGACATCAAGGTGAGGGTCCAAAGGATCGAGCGTTTCGCCTTCAGGGACAACAGCCAAGATGCCAACCGGCATCTGTGTTTCAGCAGGATCAGGTGACTGCAAAATATAGATTTACATGGAAAAAATTAGTAAAATGTGCAATTTTATGTTTTAGTTCATCAATTGCATTATTGGCATCTTCTAATTGCCTGATAAAATACAAGTCTTCATCCAAATATATCTAAAAACAGCTGCTTGAGGGTTAGCCCTATTCGCATGGGATAAGTATCTAGGGACCCCATATAATAAAACAATTACCCCCGGACGTCTGCTTTTTATGTGGAGGATTCGCACAGGATAACCGAAGCCTAAGATTTTGCTGAAATTTACGAACTTCACCCTGATATGATGTTAATGCGTTGCGTATTGCGTAACATTTGCTCACATTGTTTTCAACATGGCGGGCGCGAGGAAGAAGAGCAGGCACTGGACACAAGAAGAAACTTTACAATTAATCTATATTTGGGGTGAACAGCGGTACAAGTAAATAAACGTGCGTCCTGGAAACAAAACAATGCGAAATCACGCATCAGATCCCGTCCATTTCTGTCCAAATCACAGACATGCCTTTTTGCATTGGATTAGTATTATCACAGGACCTCGGAGTTCAGCAAAATATAGTAGGTAATTCGTGGGGGAATTTTTACTTTACAAATCACTTGACACGGCGCATTTGCACGGGCTTAACATCAGACATTTTCCGTGATTATTACAAATCGCATGTGGTCCATAGATAATGCTTATCCTGTGCGAATAGGGCTTTTGTTCTCCGAG